TTATTCTTTTCGAAGATCTTATTAAGAATGATCCAAATAATATTGAGATTAAAAAAAAAGCGAGAGCTCTGCTTAATCATGAAGAGGCTTCGATGAGAGACCTGGTACACATATTTCCTTTCGTATTTAATTTAGTTCGCCGTAATAAATGCATTTTTTGTAGATCCTCTTATGAAGTAAGTTGCCTTAATGAGTGCTTTTCTGCAGCCTATCCGTGCACTTGCCTAATGCAAAAGAAATATTGCAACATAAAATTAATAACAGTCGTGAAATATCAAGATTGGAATGCAAGGTATCAAAATACGAACATCAAGCTCGAACTGGTATCAATTTAGTAAAGTTAGGCGATGTAGGTACTTAAAGTTTATTATTTCCTAGTATCGTAAGCAATTAGCTCTGGCCAAAAGCAAAGATATGCGTCTGGCCTCACTTGTCCAAAATGAGTTCCTTGATTTGTCTTGCTTACCGGAAACTATCCTTTCCTTGGGATTTCAGGTTGGTTTCTTTTTAGAATATCCCACTTTTCACTACATTTCTTTTCAATTTAACAGGCCCTAATAGCGGCCACTGCAGAAACCTTCGCACACATTCGGGAACTGAACAAATCGTGCGGACAGGCTCTGACCACTTCTTTTTCAAATGGCTTGGATGAAAGTGCCAATTCAGCTGCTACTTTCAATGAGCTTGTCCAAGAGCACTTTAATTCTATAAACGTAATCCCAATATTCAAAAAATGACGATCGAGACTTACGCCTCAAAATATAAGTTTGTTCTATCTTAATTTTCGCATTCTGCTTGTTTATTATACATATATCCTATTTTTTATACAACCTTGACGTCTGCATTCTTAGCTTCATTTGGGTAGTTACATAGACTAATGCTTCTCGTTAGCCTGAGTTTATCGAATCGTTCTCGGCTTATTAAAGACACATGCAAGCCTATCCTAGGATTTTTTGAATGAATTGACCAATTGCCTCAGTCCATCTAAACTAGAAGCTTTTGGGTCTTTAGTGCAAAGATTCAGTGAAACTGATTTAATGAGCGATCTGTTCATGTATCGACCATTCTTAGGCAGGATATTCTATTCAGACGCCATGACTACTTGCTAACAGCCCTTATCCATTAATAC